AACCTCACTAGTATTTATCATTCTCAATCTTCTGGATATTAGCCATCCTGACTGGAGTGAGATGGTATCTCAAAGTGGTTTTGATTTGCATTTCCCAAATGCTGAGTGATGTTAAGCATTTTTTCATGTGTCTGTTGGCCATTCATATATCTTCCTTTGAGAAATGCCTATTCAGCTCCTTTGCCCATTTTTAATTGGGTTATTTGTTTTTTTGCCGTAAAGTTGTTTGAGTTCCTTGTATATTCTGGATATTAATCCTTTGTCAGATGTATATTTTGCAAATATTTTTTCCCACTCTGTTGGTTGTCTTTTCACTATGTTGATTGTTTCTTTTGCTCTGCAGAAGCTTTTTAATTTGATATAATCCCATTTGTGTATTTTTCTTTGGTTGCCTGTGCTTTTTGGGTACTATTCATGAAGTCTGTACCCACTCCTACTTCCTGGAGTGTTTCCCCTATGTTTTCTTACTAATATGTAGTCTGTCTTGGAGAATGTTCCATGTGCTGATGAGAAAAATGAATATTCTGAGGTTGTTGGATAGAATGTTATGTAGATATCTGCCAAGTCCAATTGGCCTGAAGTGTTGTTTAGATCTTGTGTTTCTCTACTGACTTTTTGCCTAGATGATCTTTCCTATGTTGAGAGTGGGGTGTTCAGGTCCCCTGCTATTATGGTGTTAGTGCGTATCTCATTCTTTTGATCTAATAGTGTTTGCTTTATAAACCTGGCTGATGTGACATTGGGTGCGTATATATTTATGATTGTTGTCTTTTTGATGGATGGATCCTTTTATCATTATATAGTGGCCTTCTTTATCTCTTTTTATGGTTTTTGGTTTAATGTCTATTTGATGAAAAAATAGCTAATCCTGCTCCTTTTTCTTTTCCATTTGCATGGTATGTTGTTTTCCATCCTTTCACTTTTAGTCTATGTGTGTCTTTACAGGTGAAGTGAGTCTCTTGAAGGCAGCATATTGTCTGTCTTTTTAATCCAGTTAGTTGGTCTGTGTCTTTTGAGTGGGGAATTTAATCCTTTTACATTTAGTGTTATTATTGAAAGGTGTTGATTTACTCCTAGCATTTTATTGATTTTTGTTTATATGTCTTAAGTATCTTTTGTTCCTTTCTTTCTGATTTTCTGTTTGTCTTCTGTGTTTGTTGGTTTCTTGGGGTGGTAGATAAACTAAATTTTCTCTTTATTGTTTGCATTTTTGTTTTGCTGGTAGGTTTTGTTCTTTCTTGAGTATTCATGGCAGTGATGGTTGTTTTTCAGGTATCAAACCCAGTACTCCCTTGAGAATTTCTTGTAAGGGTGGTTGTGTGGTAGTGACATCGCACAGTTTTTGTTTGTCTGAGAAATATACTATTTGTCCTTCATTTTGGATGGATGGCCTTGCTGGGTAAAGTATTCTTGGCTGGCAATTTTTGTCCTTTAGTATTTTGAATATATCATCCTGTTCTTTTCTGGCTTTTAGGGTTTCTGATGAAAAGTCTGATGTTAATTTCATTGGGGCTCACTTACAGGTGACATGCAGCTTCTTTCTTACAGCTTTTAAGATTCTTTGTTTATCTTTGAGTTTTACCAGTTTGACTATACCATGTTTTAGAGAGGACCTTTTTGGGTTGAATATGTTTGGGGGTCTTTGGGCTTCCTGAATCTGAAGATCTGTTACTGTCCCTATACCTGGGAAGTTTTCAGCTATTATTTTGTTGAATGTTTTCAATTTCATTTCCCTTCCCTCCCCTTCTGGAATACCCATGATTTGGTTATTTGAGCGACGAAAGTTGCCTGTTATCTCTCTTAGTTTTCTTCAATTTTTAAAATTCTTTTTTCTGGTTTGCATGTGTTAATTCCAACAGCCTGTCTTCAAGGTCAGAAATTCTCTCTTCTGCTTGTTCTAGCCTGCTGAATCCTTCAGCTTGGCAAGCTCTGCTACATTCTTTTTCAGGGCATTGATTTCTTTGTACATTTCTTCTTTCAGGTCCTGTTAATTTTTTCTCATTTCATTGTGTTGTGTAACTGAGTTTTCTTGTATCTTATTTAGTTTCCTTAGAATTGTTGCTCAAAATTCCTTGTCAGTCATTTCAAGGACTTCCTATTTGATAGGATCTAGAACTTGAGAGTTATTATTTTTCCTTTGGTGGTGATGTACTTTCTTGATTTTTCATATTTCTGGTATCTTTCCTTTGGTGTTTAGTCATTGTGGCAGGGGATATCACAGTCCACTTGTTCTACCCTGAGGTCTGGCCTAGATCCTGAAGGGACTGCAAATTCTGGGCAGTGGGGACTAGCCTGGGCTGGGGGTCCCTTGGTGCCTTCCTGTTCTGGCATGGCTGACTTGGGGTGTGTGGGCCTGGCAGCTCTCGGGCTTCTCCGGGCAGCAGGAACTGGCCTGGGCTGGGTGTCCCACAGCGTGCAGCTCCTGCCTGTTCAGGCACCGCTCTCGGGCCTCCTGTTGTTGCTTTTTAAGAGTTGCAAATTGGTTGATTTGTGGGAGAGAGCAATGCTAGGAACCATCTACACCGCCCTCTTTACTGGAAGCCCATTTTTTTCTTTTTTAAAAATTAGGAACCTCACCTTGACAATGAAAGAAGTATGGAAATAGTTCCAGGAGAAAAGGCACTTCGGGACACCAAGGAGGAACGGGACCAACAAAATCGCCTGAGAGAGATAGATGAAAAGCTGAGAAAGCTGAGGGAAAATGTGGTAAGTATTTTTTACTTAAAGTGCAATTATAACCAAAAGTGTACAGCGGTCCTGACTCAGAGTCTTCATGCCTCGTGACCCTGCCCAGGTGATCTGCGCTCAGCACTTGTAGGCAGGGGCAGCAGATCCAACTCCAAGCCTAGCGGAGATCCTGGGTCACCCAGGGAGAGCAGGCAGCAGATCCAAAGGGAACCAATGCATCATGCTTCTCTTTGTAGCTCACTTTTGCTTGTTTTTTGTGGGAAATTTCATGGGAATTATATTTCAGAGAGATCTCCTTTTCTGTTTTTTGGGTTTTTTTTTCCCCTTGAGTTTATTGACATGGTGAGGAAGTAGAAGTAGGAATGGTCGGAAGTATAAAGGGGCTCATCACTCAGTATAAATGGTAGGAAGTGTTGTGGTGATGGCTATGGGACATTGCAAACCTGATGTGATCAATATAATGTCTGTGGTTTGATTGGTTTTGAAAACTGTTGGTGCTTCCTTCCCCCCTACATCTGCCAATCGAAGGCAGGCAAAGCCTGTCATTCTCCATAATTCATTCTCCTGATTTCTGACTGTTGTAGTCTGATGTTTGTGTCCCCTCAAAAGTCATGTTGAAATCCTGACTCTCAAGGTGATGGTATTAGGAGGTGTCAAGCTTATTGCTAGGTGATTAGGTTGTGAAGGTGGAACCCTCATGAATGGGATTAGTGCCCTTATAAAATAGGTCCAAGGGAATTCATTTGCCTCTTTTACCATGTGAAGACATGGTGAGAAGGCACCATCCATGAACCATAAAACAGGCCCTCACCAGATACCAAATCTGCCAGTTCCTTCATCTTGGACTTTCCAGCTTCTAGAACTGTGAGAAATAAATTTCTGTTGTTTATAAGCCACTTAGTTTATGGTATTTTGTTGTAGCAGCCAAAACAGACAAGACACTGCACTGATCATTTATCATATGCCTGGGACATGTATCTGTTCTTTTCTACCTTGTCTCTACCGTTATTTAATTTTTGGCTCAAAACCTAGGTCCTTTAAGAAATCTTACATATTGTTCCAGTGCCATATAAAGTTTGGCTGCACTTAAAGGGATACGATAAATATCAAGAGTTGGTTGTTATCTAAATGGAAAAGAATAACGTATGAGCAAAGAAGAGCAATTATTGAATAATAGCTATGACCCGGGCACTGTTCCAAGTACTTTACAAATACTGAATTATCTAACCTTCACGATCACTCTAGGGGGTAAATAATACTCAAAATATCCTCATTTTATAGATGAAAAAATGGAGGCAACAAGAGGTTGAATAACTTCCTCAATGTTATGCACTAGTAAGTGGAGGAGGTAGGACAAAATGGTTTGCTTTTAACAACTATGCTATATTGCCTTTCTGGCACTTATTTGCTTTTCTTTTCATGATTAATATTGTTTTTTTGCTAATCAAAATGTGATACATATGTTATAACCAGTAATATTCACGAGCAAAATGTTTAGACTTCCCCATATAAATTTTAATTTCACAGTTTTGTGTTTTATAGTCAATGCTGTCAGATGCTGTTATCTGAACAATAAAGGCACATGAATATTGATCTGTATTGTTTTTATATTTTAATTGCTTAGCATTTCATAATATCTTATGGATTCATATTGTGTGCCATGCGAACTTGTGAGGGAAGATGTTTTATGTCCATAAAACTCACTGTACTGTATAGATGCCCATGTTCTTTTTGGATTGGGAATTCAGAGACCTGAGTCCTTGTTTCAGTTTTACCAGTAGACTTCTCTGTGACCTTGAATAAGTCACTTAGTCTCTTAGAGACTTGGTTTCATTACTTTAAAGTTAAGGGAATGGTGCTAGATGACCTCTGTTCTTTTGCCTGTGATTCTTGGCATAATTATTTTTGGTGAGAAGTGACGTTCTTTATAATACAAAGCATCTAAAGTTCAGCTTGTATGCTTCCTAAATATTTGGTATTAACTGGCTTAAATCTTCTATTGAAAGTTACTTTTGGAAGTTTAGTAACACCTTTTAGGAGAATGTGAAATTATCCTTTATATTAAAAAAATTAGTCTACTGCCTACCAACCAGAGAATATGGTTTCTGAATGATAGTTCCTAGAGAAGGACAATTTTGCAGTTTTGTGTTATTCTCCTTCCTGCAGTGGAACATCCTTTCAACATCACTGGTTTGGGTAAAACAGGTAATCGATTGCTATTGAATTGGTGATTTAAGGATCAAATCTATATCCAGTCATAGGGATAGAAAGGGAAGAAGTGAGCTAAGGGGTAATATAGGAGCCCCAGGGTGGGGGTGGGGGGAATGGGGTTACTCCTGGAGACACCTGTATCTCAGGAGTGATTTGTCAGTAAAGGCTGGAAAAGTGACTATATGTTTCAGATGGTAGGCTGAGAGGTTGCTGATGCACATTTGTCTTGGTCAAGATTGGTTGACAAAGTAGGATTTGATTTAGTATGTAGTAGTATGTAGGTGATGGTAGTATTATTGGTGTCAATGGATTTAGTTATTAGGAGCTAGGGGAAGTAGGTACAAAGAAATAAGGTAGAAGCTCACAAGCTTAATATGAAATTCAGTAGGCATACAGAAGCCCTGAAAAGCTGCTGCACAAGTAGAGGAAGGATGAGCCATGGTTGCTAAAAGCAGCATGTGTGAAACAAATCTTTAGGGTTTACTCAGTATAAATCGTAGGTGCTATGGGACACACTAAGGGAGAAGTAAGCAAAATGGATTATATCTGGACATTAGAGTGACTGTATTAGTCAGTTTTCTGTTGCTTATAACAGAATACCTGAAGCTGGGTAATTTATAAAGAAATGAAATCTATTCCTCATAGTTTTGGAGGTTGGGAAGGAAAAGGTCCAGGGGCATGTCTGGTGAAGGCCTTCTTCTTTGCAGAGTCCAGCAGCAATGCAGGGTATCACATAGCAAGGGCTGAGCAGGATCGCACTAACTTGCCTCTTCCTCTCCTTTTAAAGCCAAGACTGTTACTCCTGTGATAACCCACTTATCCATGAATGGACTAATTCATTCACGATGGCATCATCCTCATGATCCAATCACCTCTCAAGGGCCCCACCTTTCAACACTGCCACATTGAAGATCAAGCTTCCATGTGAGCTTTGGAGGGGACAAACATTTAGACCATAGTTAAAACCAGGTCATACGAAGGATTGTTGATGGGACTGAGCATATATATTTAGCCCAGTAAAGACAAGACTAGTGCATGTATGTTCTGTGTGTGAGTGTGTAGAGGGGCAGGAATGGTATGTTAGAAAAATCACACATGATAACTTCCCAAAGAGATTTAAAGGACTATCATTGAAGTATTAGTTTTATTCTTAAGAGTGTAGGGAAAAAAAGCACAGTGATTAGGAAGCCACAGAGACAGATTTCTGGTAAATACTAAGGAAAGAAAGAATTATCTCAGTGGGAATGGTTTGTCTGGGGCAAAGTATTCAAATTAGGCTGGAGTGGCACTTGCTGGGTAGATGTAGAGTGTTGAAGTATCACAAGGGTGGCTGGATGTTTGAGGTGAGTTCATCAAGCACAAGCAGGTGGTTTGTGTATGGTGAATATGTGGTAGTGCTGGGCTCTGAGCTCTTTTTCACATGTTTGCGAGGAGTTGTGCTGAGCCACCTGCCTCTTGCCGCTTGGTTCCCATGGGGTTAGGAGTATTGACCTGGGCTATGGATGAGTTCCTGTGCAGGGCTAACTACTTGTATGGAGATAATTTGAGATGAAAGAATCAGGAGATAATGGAAATATCTATTTTCATAGAATAGGCAACACAAGACAACTCCCACAGACCACCTCTCCATCATTGCCATACAGTGGTTTCTGGTACCTCTAACCCCATCCAGTGCAGAGGATTGCTTTCTATTGTTTTGGGTGCTCTGCAGGTTTCCTGCCCATCCAGTCTTCTGATCCCATTCTATTTTATATCACTTCCCTGGGCAGGATGATAATCCTGTTATGTAAGTTTCTGTACATGGGGCATAGAGGTTAAGAGATAGACTGCTTGGTTTTGAATGTCAACACTTGGGCAGGTCACCTGACCTCTCTGTGCTTCAGTTCCCTCATTGGTAGAATGGGGATAATTATAATTACTATCTACCTTATAGAGCTGTTATGAAGATTAAATTAGTAGGTGCTTAGAACATGGCCTGGCACATTTTAAGTGCTATATTAATGTTTGTTATTGGTATTGTTATGATGTTTATGAACATTATTAAAATGGAATTTACATAAGCTTGTTTCTAGGATAAGGAAAGGGAGGATATAGTATAGAGGAACTAAATTGAAGGGTAGGTTTAGGAGAAGAATCAAGATTCCCTTTTCCTGACTCAGGATGAAAGAAAGGAAGGGTGGGCGAAGAATGGCAGGTTTAGAGATGAAGAGAAGGTGACAGAGGTCATGCTTGAATGTTCTCTACTCGCTCTGTAAATTAGAGACCAAGCCATATGTTCAGAGTGAGAGGGTAGAGTGGGGATTGAAGAAGGGAGGGAGAAAGGACTGGAGTAGACCCTGTGTGGATGAGAAAGAAGCAATGCTGAACAGTGAAGACAGCTCAGCTGAGGTTGGAAACCCTTGCTATGAAATGGAGCTGGTCAGCAAGTCTTGGTGGCTCCTCTGGCAGCTCTCAGCAGTCCACCAAAAATGGCGGTAATGGGTGGTGAGTTGAGGTGGGGATGAGGAGAGGCTGGGTGATTGCAGTTAAGTATCAAGGGGGCAAGGGAATTAGTGGTACCTATTTGACCAAAACTAAAAAAAAAAAAGAAATGTAATATGTGCACCCCAGATATCATCTGGGACCCCTTTGCCCTTCTTTGACCCAGTTTCATAACTTGTTCTACATACACAGAATAGAATACCATATGGCTATCAAAAGAATGAAGTAGATCTATGTATATTAAAAAGATGTCTGTGATATAGTAGTAAGGACAAAGAGCCTCTTGCAGAAGACATTAGTGTGATTCCATTTTTATAATAAAAGTC